ACAGGTCTTTCTGCGTGATCATCAATCAATAACAATCCAACCCTCTCCATTGACTTTGTGTAGCGGGAAGCTACAAGTTGCCTCCTTGTCATTTCTGACTTATACCAAAAAACAGAACAATGCCTAAAAGCTTCTACAGTGCCCTCCATAAGTATTGGGACAGTAAAGACAAAATTGTTCTGTTTGCTGTGGAGTCAATAAATCTGTAAATATGATTAAAAGATGAATATGAGACAAAACTACAGAATGTCACATTTTATTATTGGGTGATTCAACACAGATGTTTTACCAGATAAGAAGATCAGCACTTTTAGAGTTCCATCCCCCTATCAGATGTGAGCATAAGTATTGGAACCGTTGCCTCACAGTTCTCTCTAAGTGATCAGCTGTGTCCTGTTGCATTAATTCTTCAGATATTAAAAGCAGGGAATGTGTCATATCAGTTATATCCATTGCTTCTGCATTCTGAGTCTTGCATTTGATGATGACACACACAAACCAGGATGAAATGAAAAGCAAGCAATTTGGATACTAAAAGAAAAGAGGAAGTCCGTTAGAGCTATAGCAAAAACAAAGGGCATGGAGAAATCAAGAGTTTGGAAACCACCGGCGACATCAGCAGCCAACAACAACCTGATTGGCTGAGAAAAACAACAGTAGCTGATGACAGACAAATCATAAAAGCTGTGAAAATTAACCCTAAAATACGTGTCTGTAAAATCGCCAACAACCTCCAGAAAGCTGGGGTGATGCTCTGACAATCAACTGTCCACAGGAGACTTTGACATAGAATTACATAGGCTACAGCAAGATGCAAACCTCTGACAAGCAAAAATCACAAAGGTGAGCCAGTGGAACTGAGTTTATGGACCGATGAGACCAAGATTAACCTTTATCTAAGTGATGGGAAAGCAAAGTGTAGAGAAAAAAGGGAACTTCAAATGATCTTAAAGGGGTCATATGATGCTATTTTAAAGATCATTATTTTGTGTATTTGGTGTAACAGAATGTTGACATGCTTTAATGTTCAAAAAACACATTATTTTTAAAATACTGTACATTATTGTAGGTCCTCTATACCCCGCCTCTCTCAAACACGTAGTTTTCAACAAAGCCCCCTCCTTTGACAAGCGCAGTCTGCTCTGATTGGCCAGCTGACCCAGTGCATTGTGATTGGCCGAACACCACAAGCACGCGTCGGAAATGTAACGCCCCTTACCATAATCACGAGCGTCAGCTTTCAAAGTAAATATCAAGACAGTTAATAATGTCGTTAGTTTTACCATCAGTTCAAGCCCGAAAGGACAACAGAGTCGCGTGACAGACACAGTGAGGAAGCTTTCAGCGCGATAAACATGATAATCAGAACCAAAACAGATGTTTTTTAGCAGGTCCAAACTGTAATTGCGCAAGCTCTATTCTGGAAAAGGGGGCGGGGAGCAGTAGCTCATTTGCATTTAAAGAGACAGGCCCGAAAAACAGCCTGTTTCTGCTTCCACTCAAAATAGGCATTTTCAAAATGATATAGTAAATGATCTGTGGAGTATTTTGAGCTGAAACTTCACAGACTCATTCTGGGGACACCAGAGACTTATATTACATATTGTAAAAAGGGGCATAATATGTCTCCTTTAAAGGCTGGGAAAAAGCATTTCAAATGATGAGACCAAGAGTCTGGTGATGTCTATGGGTCGCAGACTCACTGCTCTGATTGCACGCTAAACGAAATAATATATTTTAATCTTTTACATCTGCCTTAAGTTCAACTGTCCCAATACTTATGCTCACATGGGATGAACTCTAAAAGTGCTGTCATTTTTATTTGGTAAAACATGTATGTGTTGAAACAGCTAATAATAAAATGTGACATTCTGTAGTTTTGTCTTATATTCATCTTTTAATCATATTTGCAGATGTCTTGACTACACAGCAAACAAAGCAATTTTGTCATTACTGTCCCAATACTTATGGAGAGCACTGTATGTGACAAGGTGTACAGTAAACAAGCTAAAAGACCCAGAACTACATTTTTATAAGCTGTTGACCCAAAAAAATTAGTGTTATTACTCTGAGAACTACTCCCACTGGGGGGAAACGTAATCGGCGACAGGAACCATTCATTATTTTTAACAATATCAAAGGATTATTAAACCACCCTATGTGAACCAGAGAGGAGGAGATATATTGAGAAACTATATTTTATTGGTCTATGTCAGTACGCCTTTTCCTTACCTTCTTTTTGTTTGAGAAATGATCCAACTGAATGGCCCAACGTGAAATACCTTGACATCTACAACTATTTGTGTCCTTAAACGCTCGTTTTTTTTGGGTCGACAGCTTATAAAAACGTAGTTCTGGGTTTTTTAGGCAATTAAAGGCTCATTATGATCATTTAAATGGTTTATTAATAGATGTGCGATAAGTCGACTAATGCTTAAAATGAGCGACTACTAGTCGACCAGGAAAAATCTTTAGTTGAGGGCAGCCCTAGAATAAGCATTTGGGGTTATTCATGACCTGTTGTAGTAATTTGTTAATGCCTTTATACTTTTAAATTTCATTTTAATGATCGATTGTGAGTAGGATGTGACTTCGTTGTACCCAGTTTTTGAAAATACTTATTGTGTTCATAGAGTGAATCTTTTGCTGATTGTTTACAGTTTTATGGAAGTTGATCCCATAATTCAAGCAAAGCATCATGAGGTGTAGGAAAAAGGTGCAACGGCTGTAAACAAGCCTGCATTTACCAACAGTATGGTGTCCTGCTCTCTGCATCTGTTTTTCATCCCTGCAGTGCACTTTCATCCTTTATACCATGTGATACAGGCGTATCAAGAAAAAAATATGCTAAAATATAGGCATATGAAGGTGATATGTAACACATAAAGCAAAACAATTTACACTGATGTTCTGGGCCGTATGTATAAAACTTCTCAGAAATGCTCTTAAGAATAGTCTTAAGCTTTGACTTAAGTGTCAAAAAATTCTTAGTAAAAAGTAGGACTTTTCTGAGAGTAGGAGACTTTTATAAAGACGCTAAAAGCAACTTTCAGTAAAGTCTAAAACGGATTCTTAAGTGTTGACTGAGGTGACACTTAAGTGTTGTGAACTAAGGACTACAAAGATGTCAACACAAAATGGCTGACCTCAACCTCTGAATCAGCCAATAGTGAGCCTGCTCATGTAAAGTCACAGCAGCACAACACCAATCATTTAATGTAACTACAATAAAATCATTTAATTAAGACTGAAATATTTTAATTTAAATGTATTTTTAAATGCTTTGCATTGTGCAAAATTATCACAAATTATTACTAATGCTTTGTTTAATGGTATGTCTCCTCATTTACAGTTAGAGCAATGATGTGAACATGAGTTCCATCAACGGCTCCAGTAACTCCAGGAAAGCCCACAATCCTCACAAAAGTGGCTTGTTTTTGCAGCATGGTTTGGCGGTCAGTTGAAAATTTAATAAACTGCCATATAGTAGTGGCCAAAAGTGAGGTCCGGCCTAGGCACTTTCACCCTTAATTAAAAAATAAATAAATAAATAAATGAATGTTCAAGATTTTGTAAGCATATTGCATAGTTGCTTAGTCAGTTGTTTTATTTGTGATAATAATGCAATGAAACAAGCCAAATTGTGCGGTCATAATTTTTGGCATGCTATCATACAAAGAAATTATGAACACATGCAAAAACAAGAGGACCAATGAAATATTAATAACTTATTTTGTAGTCAGTGTGCCAGTGTTGCCAATTTAGTGATTTTTGTCACTACACTTCCTCATCCCTTTAGAGACTTTTTT